TAAGAAGTACGCTGCAATTCGCCAAATTGAGGCAATGAGTTCGAGCGAAAATGACTATGAATTGCAAAATCCTGTAACTCGCCTGCGAGAGGCTGGAGATGCGTCTGATCAACGCTACATACAGAAGACTCCCACGAGAATGGACGAGCAAGAGACCTACATAGGTTCGGTAGAGCTACAGACTCCCGTAATAAGACGTGAAGAAAGCTGCCACGAGAACGCGTGGAGGAAGCTCTCGTGAGATCCCATGGTCGAGGCCACCACGAGGGTAGTAGAGCAAGAATATCTAGGAGAGAGAATAAGCTTATTAGAAAGTACTCCTCAGATTATCCGAGAAGCCATCGAACCATCGATTGAGCAGACTCCTTGCTCTCCGCCAAAATTAAGATTTGGCAGACCGCTGAGAAGAGTGGCAAAGGCTGTGTCCAACCATGTCGTTAGAGCAAATGCTTTATCTGCACAAGCAGTCCATATTAATGCCTGTCTGTCGTCATCAATTCAAGTGCTTACTCCTCTATTTGAATCTATCACCGTTTAACAGGCCATGTGTTACGGTTTGCCCGTTGTTTAAGCTTAGGAGGAAACCTAAGCGTTTAATTAGGAATAATTACGATAAGACTGAAAGAGGAAGGATGGACAAATATAGATGAAATGGCACTGCTAGCCAGGAGGTCGAAGTAAAATCATAGCGTAATGGCTCCTGATAATACTTGGTTCGGTAGCAAGTATTAGGCCTAGGGGAAAGTTATCTGTCAGCAGATTCACTAAGCGGACCAAACGTTATAAGTACCTGTTAATAGTAGCTAGAGATTTCTTTTCCCTTAATATAGTTTAATAAATAGATTTATTCGTCACTAACTCGGTTTCCATCACACCATGCATAAAGATCCTAAATTATGGAAAGAGGCAATAAAATCAGAATTGCGCTCTCTGCAAGCTACCGACACCTATACGATTTTGACTGGATCTCCACCGCCTGGAAAGAAAATAATGTCAAGCAAAATAGTTCTCAAAAAGAAGTTTATAAGTGACGGCAGGTTAGACAGACGAAAAGCACGAATCTTTGTCCGTAGATTTGAACAGCAGTATGGTATCGAATATTTCAAGACTCTCGCGTCGGTCATACGGTACAACACACTCCGAATACTTCTATCAAAGGCTGCAGTAGAGGATCTTGAAATTGAAGCGCTTGATATGGATACAGCCTTTCTAAATCCAAAATTAGAAGAAGAGATTTATGTAGAGATACCTGATTGCTTTTCCTTGCAACACCCTGGAATCAATCGAAAGGAAAATTACCTCAAGCTCAAAAAATCACTATACAGTTTAAAGCAAGCCCCGCATATTTGGTTCAAGGAAGTGAAATATCACTTTAATCGAGTTTCCTTAAAGAGTGAAGATGCTGATCCAAATTTATTTATAGGTAGGGATGTCTCCGAACTTCTTTATGTAAGTGAGTGAGTGGTTGTTTATTGTCCTAAAAAGTCTAAAACTATGTAAGGACATGTAGGTCCTTTCTGCCTACAGGCCGGGAGTATCTATGCCTCCTTCACGACTTCTTTCCAGCAGTAATACCCCCACAGGTCTTCATTCGAGTACACACTAGGAGGAACCGTTATCCCGTCATTATCTCCCCTCTCCAGCCAACTAAACGATGGCCATTTGCGGGTGTGTAGCTGCAGGGATAAGTCTCAAAAACTACTGGGTGCGGGGCTCTCCTATGACGAAGAGGCCGGCCAGCCGGGCGCAGCAGACCTGTGTATACCTAAGAGCGTCCCTCAACCTTTCTAGCCTCCTCCTTACTCATCCCTGATTCATGCCGCAGGACAAATCGTAGGTCGTGAAAGGATGTCAGAAAAGTCTTGGTCGAGAGTGACAGTCGCGAAGGAGCCTAGCCTAGCATCCAAAAGTCGTTACGGACGTGGGGTTGTCGAGTAACTTATGTATTCCAGATGCCCTCCTCGCTAGTAGATTCGGAGGTATAGATTAGTAGGGACGATATTATTGATGAGTCTAAATCTGCTTTTCTTGATGGCGGAAGGGTCTTTTACTTTGCTTTCGTGGGCTTTTTGTTCGCCCGCCGGTGAGTAGCACATTTTCTGATTTAACAAGGGCTTCTCTGACTACCGTTGTAGCGTTTGGTACCACATTATCTCTCCTCATTCTCAGCATCATTATCGTCGTCTTTGTCGTCTTATGTGTTATCGGAAGCGTATCTTTGACGGAGGGGGAGATAACTTCTTTATGTAGATGATATGCTAATCATAGTAAACATGGAAATTTAAATTCCTTCAAATCAAATATCATGCATAAATGGAGTTGCAAAGTGCTAGGACTAATTGATAATTTCGTCGGAATTTAGGCGGAAAGAAATAGGCGAAAGCGTACACTTCGCCTTTTTTTTTTAATCCATTTACATTCTCTATAAGCCTAAGACTATTGTAGGATGTGCACTCCATTAGGACTGCATATTCTAATACTTGCTACATACAAGGTTATCCAGTTTTTATTGTTCAAGTCTTCTGCATGTGAATAGTTTGAGTGCCCTAGACTCTACACTTCCCCTTCATCGAACTGCAAATACAACAAAACTCATTCAGCAACTGGGAATGGAGAAAAGTATATCTAAGGATCTCCCACTCCCAGCATGAACAGTCCTAAAGCCATCTACTAAAGATGATATCCATCAAACGCTCAGATATGATAATGTCGAACTAATAGACCTGTATATGAGGCGGAATAAGGCTAAGAAGAAAGCACGCGCAATCAACCGTGCGTTACATAATTCTGGTATTTTATACTGTAACTAGTTGCGCCTATTTTTACCTATTTACCATATTAGCGCTCATCATGTTTTTACCTTGTGTTTAAAATTAGATAACATAGTCTGTTTGTAAGACGGGATGATGAGATTACGTGGTCTGGACTATGGAAACTGACTTAAGGAAGACGAGCGAACTTGTATTTAAACAAAAGTGAGATGATGGAAGATAGGACAATCAATCATTTTCCTCTCTCCCTTCTCTTTGTGAAAACATCGAAGTCCCAATCCTGTGACAGATAAGATCTGCCTATATCGACAAATTATTGGACCTGTCCTATACATTTCTAATGGTACATTTAAATTATTACATCTAATAAAGATTTAAGAAAGAGGAGGAATAACAAATATATTAACTCAGGGTAAAGCCCTCATTGTCTATTGGAAAATATTTAAAAAACAGTATATATAAAAACAAATGAATTTTGGTAGCTTAATGTCTAATTTTAGCAGTACTTCATAGTCATAGACTTAGTAGGGACTTAAATTTAATTCTATTCTATTCTAATGGTACAAGGCCAGACATATCTTATGCTGTAGGGAAACTTGCACGATTTATGTCTGATCCCGATTCAAACTATTTAAGCATGGCAAAGCATCTACTCAGATACCTCAAGGGCACAAGGTCGCTCGGGATTAAATACAGATCTGCTGGTACGACAAATATCTGGACAGCACGGACGGATGCAGCGTAGCGGACCGAAAATGATAAAAAATACTCCCAAGGCTAAACGATCATATGGAATGGTGGCGCAGTAATTTGGTCGACTAACCATCAGAAAAGCACAGCTCAGAGATCAGAGCTCAATGGAAGTAGAGATCATGTTACCAGCGAAGAAGCCAAAGAAATCATCTGGAAGGTGAAAATTGCTCATGACATTAACGTCAAAATGACGAAACCTCTACTTCTATATCTAGAGTGAGTGAGTGATGCTGTTTATTGTACTACTTGAGTCTTAGACTATCTAGAACATTGGACTCCTCTCTGACCCAGGCTACACCTTGTACAGTGCTCCCAGCCTCTTTTGTTACTTATAAGATCATTGATATATTGCCCTTGATGAATAGCCATTCAGCTCAGTGTTTACCCGTAGAATTCAGCAACCTTTTTCACGGAACCTTCCACCCAAAATAAATAAAAATGGTAGCAATGGAAACTGCGTGCGCGGGGAAAAGTCTCAAAAAACCTGCAGCCCCAGCCAGGCGAGGCCTAGGCACCGGGACCACATGAGGTGCGCATATTCATCTATATCTCCCTTCTTTGTAACATTCGAGGCCCACTTGATCCAATCCACCATCTTCGTATCGGGTGCTGGGTACGCTCCGGAAACTCATCGGATGGCTTTTCCTCCATGATCAAGGGTGGGTGATGAGTAGGGCTCCGACCCTACCATCTGATCTGATTGTGGTTAGCTTCATGGTAATGGTGATAGGGGAATGTGTTGAGGAATGAAGACGATACAGACTGCGAAAGCGATTGGGAATCCTCATCGAAGTGAAGGCTTTGTTACTCAATCTCGGCTCTGCAGACTCTACAGTGAGAGCTGGAGGTTCGTAGGGGACACCACCGACAGGTGTTGAGAATAGTCCCCCGAAATTTCCAAGTCATACTTCAAAAAAATATATGTTCTTTCATTCAACATCAACTCAGCGCGAAGTTTCTACTCTTGAGAGAAACATTCAGCGAGTTTATTGGAACTCATTCTAGAGCTTCGTAATCCCAGTCAATCTTTCAATGGTAATCCTAGGCTCTTACCGCGTCTCAGTAAGGGAAATGGTCAGGGTAATTTTTCGCGACAGGAATAGAATCGTTCGAAGTGAGAGATTTTCTATTGAAGCAATTTGATAATAACAACTTCAGCGAAATCATGTCTCACAGAATATGTAGACATGAGTATGGAGTACAGAAGACAAGCCATGACGAGCTGGGATTATGTAACTTATTGAAAACACGACTGCAAGATATATGAAAGGGAAACCATAATATGTGAGCATGAGAACTTTTTGATGTCGAACTAGCTAAATGTGACGGATTATCGATAAAAACAAGAGAAATTTCTATCGTGACTGCCCAGATTCCGGAGAGTTTTTGCATATCTATCGCGATAGGTCGATACCTATTAAATCTATGACTAATTTAACACGCCTCAAACACAGAATGTGAGATTTGAGAGAAATATTAATTTCGAGCTGTTGATGATTTTGCGTCATATTTTACGCGCAGCTTGAGATTCGCTAGCCTTTTCGCTGATTTTACTTCTTTCTCTTCTTGCCAGAGTCTTTTTTCTTCAAGGTAAATCTTTGTCATCTTTTCGCCATAGGCTTTGGCACTAGCGCGTTCTGTTCGAATAGCAGCATCGATTTCTTTCTGAGCTTCCATGATACTACTATCCCAGCCCTTGTCGACACCGATACCGTTACCCCATCCTTCCCACCACCACTCATTACTTCCGCCGTCTTGAATTCCTCCTTCCACATCTCTTTCAATTTGTTGCAAAACTGTATTTTCCCAATCATTCTCGGACTGTGCGACAAAATCGGTAATTTCCAGTTGAGATCTGAGATCTATTTTTTTCTGTTTCTGAACGACCTTATCCCTGATGACGCGACTCAAATAAGGGCTCTGGGGCCTCTTAAAGCGGAGGAAGGGGATGCCTGCGGATGTCATGACCAAGCTAGGCACGTGACGTTGCCCCGACGAAATGCAAGATAAAGGTAATGGGCGTTTTTCGACCAGCTTAGGCGCACTAGAATAAGGCCATACACGAGGCCGAGGACGAGGCTTGAACTCAGGCTGAGAACAAGCGCGACGAGATGATTCGATATCAGCCTGATGGGAGTGTACTAAACAATGTATTTGCTCGACTGCCGTCGAGACACCGTCGACGGCGAGGCGGAGGACATGTTCGGACTGTGCACATAGATAGTCACATTTTAGCAATTGCAGCATAGAGAGGGGCGGGAATCTCGACGAGGGACCTTACGAGATAGCCGCTTTGTAGTGCGTTTCTAATCATGCGTGGACTGTCGACAAAGGCATTTTGGCGGAAGCGCTTACGAATAAGATGCGTCAAGGGATTTTTTGAACCGCGCTGAGAAACATCACTTGGTAGAGGAATTTTAGAGCTCGATTGCAAGATGGCGCGATAGAGGGCTTTGCCTGGAAACCTATTAGAATAGCTCATAGGCCGTTAAAAAGGGAATAGAGACATGCTACACGATGACGGCTAGATGCCCGAGCAAAAAATTGTCCCGGAACGGGCATTCATCAGATTTCTTTAGATGTCAGTGATAAATTATGAAATGTAATTGCAACGCGTGAAAGAGGCGATAATTTCAAAAAGCCTATACATATTAGCGTGTTGCAGATCATGCCTTGCCAGGCTGCTATAGTTATTGAAGCGATTTACCGAGGTTTACTGATTTGATTGTGTTAATTGTCCCATTCACTCTATGATTAAATAAAGACATAAAGTTCCTTTCTGCTACAGGCCGAGAGTAACTATATTTCGGGCAGAGTACTCCCTTCTATGCCTGCTTCACGACTTCTTTCAAGCAGTAAAACCTCCATAGGTCTTCACTCGAGTAGACACTAGGGGCCGTTATCCCCTCATTATCTCCCCTCTCCAATCAAAGAAACGATGGCCATTTGCGGGTTTGATTTGTTTGTTCATTAACGTGCTAGGTAAAGTGACTACCGTTACACTCCTCCTGGAGCTTAAGCACGGGTAGGGCCGGGCTGGATCAGGTTAACTACCATTAATTACATCTACCTCGTCCCACCTGAATGACCGGATCACTTCAGACTTCACCTATGTGTTGAATCATGTCAAGCACAACTATCCGGAGAACCCCATTTTGGCGCGCCGAAGCGCAAATTCCTCCTCAGCCTCGGCCACCACGCGCCCGAGCCCTTGACACCTTCGCCATCTGTAACTTTTCCCTTCGATTTCATTCCCAGCTTTGGCTCATCTCAGCATCTCCTCATTTAATCCAGGGTTCATTTTCTTCACTAGAGGCTTAATCCAGTCGCCCACCAAGGCCTCCTCAGTTTGTGTTCCCTTTTGGTTCCTTCATACAGCATCCCTCTGTCCTTTAGCCGATCTCGTCATCCTATAAAGTTTGTTGAATGTCCACCCCTCCGGCCTTGCCCAGTCGCTGCCGTACCCCTAACCGTGGAGGTCGAAAACGCGACTGAGAGCTCAAGACCGAGGCACCGGTGCCCAGTCTTTGCCGATGGCTCTGGTTGGTGTGCCGGCGAAATGCCGTACGTATTTCGTCGGTGGCGGTTCGTCGCAGGTCGAGTTGTTGGTGCCCTTGGCCAAGGTGAGGACGCATTTAAGGCCGGTATTTCGACCGTTCCTTCACAGCGACTGGCAGTTGCGGAGGGTCGGACATCTTCTTGCTTCTTTGATGGCGATTTTGACTCTAAGATGTATGGGATTGCTTCGGTAGGTGATGAGATGATTGTGGAGAGGGCCGCGAGATGGGTTTGGCTGGGAACGATTTTGCAGAGAAAAAAAAATAGATCTTGTAGGTGTCGGTTGTTGTAATACGAACATCAGTCAGGTTTTAGCCTGTCTGTGGTTCGTATCTGGGGTTCAGATGGTTGATTTCGTTGAGTTTTGCAGTCGTGAAATCTCTGCAAGTCGGATTTTCGACCAAAAGTGAGCCAACACCACTCCTCCCAATTGCCAACTCGACGAAAACTCTCCAATCCACCCTTTGTCGTGACTGAATCTCGGCTCTGGGAGAATATTTCACTACCGGGTTCGTAGAGGACACCACTGACAGGTGTTCAGCCTTCGTCCTCCGGCCATTTGCGGGTGTGTAACTGCGGGGAAAATTCTCAAAAAACTACTGGGTGCGGGGCTTCTCTGTTACAAAGAGGCCGGCCAGCCGGGCGCATCAGACCTGTGCTACTTAAGAGCGTCTATCAGCCTTCCTAGCCTCCTCGTTACTTCTCCCCTGATTAAAACCGGACAACAAACTGAATGTTGTGAAAGGATGTCATAAGAATCTTGGTCAAAAGAGAGGCTTTCCGTGAAGGAGGATAACCTAGTATTTGAAATTTGTTACGGATATAAGGTTGACGATTAACTTAAGTACTCTAGATTCTCTCATGGCTGGTAGATTCCGAATTGAAGGTTGGAAGGGTCAATTTTGTTGGAGATTTAAAATTTGCTTATCGTGAAGACGGAGGGTTCCTTTATCTTGCTTTCGTGGGCTTTTTGTTCGCCTATCGGTGGGTAGTACATGTTGTGATATAAGGAAGGCTTCTCAACTACCGTTACAGCGTTTACTATCGCAGTATTTCTACTCTTTCCCGGCATCATTGTCGTTTAGTTCATCATCATCATATGTGTTATCGGAAGTGCATCTTTCATGGATGGGGAGATAACCCAGCACAAGGTCAAATTTAATGACCCAATCTCGGCTCTGCGAATTCTACGGCGAGAGCTGGAGATTCTAGAGGACGCCACTGGTAGGTGTTGAGCTTTGATACAAGGAGGTATTCCGTTCAAAACATAACTGTAGCCTAATTTGACTGACATATTTTAGGCGGCTCACAGCGTATTACTAAGATGGCATATAGACCTAAACTTTGTGTGTCACATGACACTCGAGCTAGAGCCAGGTCCAAACCTCTTTAACATGTTTCAGTAAGCCCCGCAGGAAAATGGCAACCTCCATCTATCCGCTCAACGCCAGTTTGGACCGACAGATAACAGTCTATCGTTTCTCACGTGTGATAAGTTTTATTCAAGGCAACTAAAGCCAAAACAAAAGCAGTGATAGCAACATAGTCACCAGTGCCTTTACTCCATTGTCCCCTTGTTCGCTGGCTACATCAACTTGAGGTCAACAATTTTAGGCTATCTGGCAGCAACTTAAAAAGCGCACGATGCTCGCCCATGGGGCGCATGTTTTCTCCCATCAGCAGCAGTATAACCCTCAGAATGAGCAATCATGGATGCACCAGCAAAATCATCATCAGCATGCACAACAGGCTGCAGCTGCTGCATCTGCTGCGCAGCAACAGCACTACAACCGAATTGCGGCAAACCATAACCTTCCAAGCTCAGCTACGGCATCAGGACATGGTCAGGATTCAAGCATGATGGACAATGTGACGGAAGAAAATAGGAGAACGCTCGCATTTATAGCCGACTTGCTGGGCGAAGACACAAGAGAAGCTGCACTCTTAGAACTAAGTAAAAAGAGAGAACAGGTTCCCGAACTCGCGTTGATTCTATGGCACTCGTTTGGTAGGCATCATTACAGTTAGTGAAGCAGAAACCTAACGTTATGCAGGTGTCATGACATCTCTTCTCCAAGAAATTATCTCCGTATATACATTACTTAACCCTTCGCAACTAACAGCAGCTGCGTCAAACCGTGTGTGCAATGCTCTAGCCCTCCTTCAATGTGTTGCATCTCATAATGAGACCAGGGCACTTTTCCTCAATGGTATGTTTTTTAAATTTAGAATATATTTTTCTAACCCTTTCCTTAGCGCATATACCACTCTTTCTATACCCTTTCCTCAATACTACCTCTAAATCTAGACCTTTTGAGTATCTCAGATTAACATCGCTCGGTGTAATTGGTGCACTCGTTAAGAATGATTCATCTGACGTCATCAACTTTCTACTCACCACAGAAATAATTCCACTCTGCCTAAGAATTATGGAAACAGGGTCAGAGCTCAGTAAAACAGTGGCAATATTTATAGTACAGAAAATTCTTCTTGATGATCATGGGCTAAATTACATATGTGCAACCTATGAGCGTTTTTATGCCGTTGGAACAGTTCTGAGCAACATGGTGTCCCAACTAGTCGAGCAACAGACCGCAAGGTTGCTGAAGCATGTTGTGCGCTGCTTCCTTCGGTATGGATACAAAATCCATTATTGCAATAATTCTAACACTCTTGACAGGCTCAGTGATAATGCTCGTGCTCGGGAAGCATTACGACAATGTCTTCCAGAACCCCTTCGAGACGCTACTTTTTCTTCGGTGCTTAGAGATGATGCAGCCACAAAACGATGCCTGGCACAGCTCCTTATAAACCTTTCGGATAATGTTGTAGAGTCCTCTGGAAACCATCAAGGCATTTGATATTCGTAGTATCTGCACTGGCCAACCTATAAGTTTTTAATATATCGACCATCTGATACGTTTTAACAAAAAAAATGGGCTTAAACCTAAATTAATTGTTCTGTGGCATTGGAGCTGACAAGAGCGGTAGAGGAAACGCAATTTTGTTTGATGCCACTCCCTCCATCCACAGTTCAACTTTCAGACTAAAAAAATGTATTACGTTTGGGTTTCTGGTCGGCTTTGGTGTCCGGGGTTACGTTTAACTTACGAGGGGATAGATTGCGCATTACTATTTGTTTACAAAGGTGATTAATAGGGCTGGCCACCTTCATAAAACATCTATGAGGTGTTCATGGCTTAGTCTTTTGCATCGGACGGACGTGGTGGCGTTTTGGGTACATAACAGTTACCTGAAGAAACGGGTGAGATAATGATCGGGTAAACTCAATTAAATTACTAAGTAGTTAGGCACGCAGGCAAAACTTTTGACATGCTATTCGGGTTGCCTTTACCTGTGTATTCCGAGGCTAAATCTTGCTCTGAGTAGAAACTCATGATATTGAGCTCCTAAACATGACTAATTCTAGGAGGCTAATATCTTTTGTTGTGATCAAAATACTTTACTTTGTGTTCGGTTTAGTTTCTAGTCTGTAGATTCTAACCTAAATCTGATAAGTTGCAGGCTATTATTCTAATTATCCAAGAGATCTTAGTTAAGGTTATGGTTAGTTTCGGTTTATTGTACGGTTATTTGATTAATCCCTGTGCGTTTCCCGCGTGAGGCAAACATGTGAGTGAGTGAGGTGAGTGAGTGCTTATTATCCTTAAAAGTCTAAAACTGTGTAAGGACATGTAGGTCCTTTCTGCCTACAGGCCGGGAGTATCTATGCCTCCTTCACGACTTCTTTCCAGCAGTAATACCCCCACAGGTCTTCATTCGAGTACACACTAGGAGGAACCGTTATCCCGTCATTATCTCCCCTCTCCAGCCAACTAAACGATGGCCATTTGCGGGTGTGTAGCTGCAGGGATAAGTCTCAAAAACTACTGGGTGCGGGGCTCTCCTATGACGAAGAGGCCGGCCAGCCGGGCGCAGCAGACCTGTGTATACCTAAGAGCGTCCCTCAACCTTTCTAGCCTCCTCCTTACTCATCCCTGATTCATGCCGCAGGACAAATCGTAGGTCGTGAAAGGATGTCAGAAAAGTCTTGGTCGAGAGTGACAGTCGCGAAGGAGCCTAGCCTAGCATCCAAAAGTCGTTACGGACGTGGGGTTGTCGAGTAACTTATGTATTCCAGATGCCCTCCTCGCTAGTAGATTCGGAGGTATAGATTAGTAGGGACGATATTATTGATGAGTCTAAATCTGCTTTTCTTGATGGCGGAAGGGTCTTTTACTTTGCTTTCGTGGGCTTTTTGTTCGCCCGCCGGTGAGTAGCACATTTTCTGATTTAACAAGGGCTTCTCTGACTACCGTTGTAGCGTTTGGTACCACATTATCTCTCCTCATTCTCAGCATCATTATCGTCGTCTTTGTCGTCTTATGTGTTATCGGAAGCGTATCTTTGACGGAGGGGGAGATAACTCAGCTCAAAGTTGATAAGGTGTTACTCAATCTCGGCTCTGCAGACTCTACAGTGAGAGCTGGAGGTTCGTAGGGGACACCACCGACAGATGTTGAGAGTAGTCCCCCAAGGACTGCTAAAGATATTTAAGTAACTTAATGTAGGACTTAGAGACGTTGTTGATACGGCAAGTATCATATAAATCAAAAGTACAACGTTGCAACATGGTAGTTCAATCGTGATTCATTCTTCTCTTCTATTCTATTCAGCCCGTACAAGTGAACTTTTCGGAGCGCATGCCTGAACACCTGTACGCGGTGTGCTCTACTAACCTGGGAGTGAAACTTCCTACCAGAGCCAAGTACAGTCAAATTTTGCAATATCTGTCACAACAGTAGATCTAGTTTTCTGAATACGTAACAGGAATAAGCCACAAGGATAAGTAATCAGAATAGGTAAAAAAGATATGACTATTTTATTTTTAGGTCCTTAGCTATGCTCTATATCTCCTAGGAGTCAAGGACTGGTACACACGGCCAGGATCATGCTTTCCACCTGCCTGAATCGGTCTCACTCCGTGAACCACTACACAACAAGTAGCTAGTCGCAAGAAAGAAAATAAAACCCCACACAAACTCTCATAACCAAAATTTCAAATCCCATACTCCAATTTGTGGTTGGAAAATAACACTTCTCGTCTCATTTTCCTACCTGTCATGCTTCGTGCTTACGATCTAGTTACTGCCGTCTACGCTAAGAGCTGGAGACGGACTCACAGGTGGGCCCCCGAAGCAGCCGGTTTCCTGCGCAAATTTTCTAAAGTGTTCGAGGCACTTAGGCCCTTGAAGCTTGTGGGTAAATTCGTGATGTGGCATTGTCCCCCGAAGTCGACGCGTCTGGCGTACGTGCAGTCGACAGTGAATGAAGTGGAGAGATGATGTTTCATCTACACACGCACACTTAATTGAAGCGGCAGTGACATGACGCGAAGTTTCAGTGGCCCGTACGGGCTTAGATCTTTTTTTTTTTGAAATCATTTAATGTGTATTCAGCTATAAAGCTATAACACATGACCGGTGCTATGTATACATATTGGATGACTCTTTTGACGTTAGAGACACTCATACTCTGGATTTCATTCGCAAATACCACTATGAGGAAAGATTGCTTACACAAATAGTCGACCCTCCTCCGTAAGTACCCACCAAAGGGAATTTCAAAACCTTTGGTTATCCAAGCATGCCTTCGTCATCCATGCATACCAGCGCCGCGAGAAAAGTGGTTGTGTTTTGCCGGATTTGAAAAAGCGATCTACTGTCTCGAGTGGGATGTGTGTCTAAGCTATCCAGACTCTACTTGGCAGACCGGCCAAGACGATGTACCACCACACCATTCAACCATGGCGATGTTTATAGTGTCGCCTGCACTCTCGCAACCGAAGTCTTGGCGCGCATACAAAGCCCCATTTGTAAAAACTCCTTGCCAAAATTCAAAATTCCACGCCCGTTGAGAATGTATCCATCCTTTGCATCATCTTGTGAACTTGTCCTGAATCCTCTCACGCCAATCCCAAAGAACTGTCTCCTAAATTTGTGTGCCACGCTTTGTGTCCTCCGTCGGGTATAAATATCGGCGTGGGCGTGTATTGGGTGACCGGCTGAGGCCAGAGAAAGTCGACGAGAGGTGTGGTCATTGGAATAAGGATGTACGAGGTCGTACTTGTAGACTTGATGAGGCTTAGGTAGGAATTGGACTCTCTGGGAGTGAAGATTTGACGTGGTGGAGTACTTTGACTATTGCCTCGTGGGCCAACTTGTTGGGTTTTGCGAAATTTGACTGAACTTGGCTCTGGGAGAATATTTCACTCCCAGGTTCGTAGAGGACACCGCGTACAGGTGTTCAGTCTTGCCCTCCCGGGCTGAGATCAGTTCACAGAGTAGCTGCCGGGAAAATGTCTGCTCGCGTGGCTTGCGTCGTCGCATGAGAAAACCCAGATTTCGATACCTAGGTGGACATGCTTCTTCCCACCAGTCGTCGAGAAGCGCTTGACGTTTTCGGTTGATGAGCCAACGAACGTACGCCAATGTGATGGAGCCAGGCTGGCTGTCTTTGCTTGGAAGTTGTCGGAGGCCGGAGCGTGCAGCTCTGTCTGAATCTTCGTTTCAGTCACGGTTTGACCGTTGTATGAGCTTAGGTGGATACCTAAGCGTGATACTTAGATTGTTTACAATAAGGTCGCATGGGGAGGGGAAGATGGAACTAGGCGAAACAATAATACTAATCAGGACGCTAGATTGCTGTTACAACTAAGTAACACCCAACAATACGTGGCTAGTTAGCGAGTATGATCTCTGGAGGAAAGCCATCAGTTAGTAGATACACGCAGCGGATCAGTCATTATAAGTACCTGTTAGTTGTAGCTAGAGTTCTCTTCTCTCCTCATATAGTTTAATAAATCGATTTATTCACAACCAACTCGGTTTCTGTCACAGTTTCCCTGCATCCCGGAGTGGGCTGGTATCTACTTCACCGAGACTAGAGCTTTTTTTAATAGCGTCCTAAATTGTCGCACGTCGTCGAGACTTGTTGTGACAGTTCCTTTCAGCAGTGCTTTCACTGCAGACTGACTATCTGTCAGTACGTTGATCTGCTGACTGCTGTCCCTTCCCGCGTTCTCCATCTCCAACAATCCCAGCGCAACTTCCAGGCCCTTCCTCGCCCCTATATTTTCCGCATCAAGCACTTCACCACCATGCTTGATGCCATATCCCTTCTGTTGAAGCTTTGTCGTGGAGTGATAGATATGAGAGTGAGGTTTATGGGTCACGATGTATGAGATAACTGAGGTGCGGATGTATGAGTTCCTTACTATTGTTGTTTTACTAGTTAGGGATATATTGTCTATATACATAAAAGGATTTCTCCATCTACAAGTGGGCCAGATCGCTTAGATCTGGCTAGCGGCTTTCGCCATCCTCTTCCTTCTCCCCCGCATGGCATCACGTGCTTTACAACTACTGCTCACCATGGAGTCCGAGGATGAAAAGCGTTAGATTACAACACTTCCCCTCGCTTTGCACATCTGATGTGGTTAGATAGTCTATGGTGAGTTGCCTTTGCTAGGGCTTTGGTTAAAAGGTCGGCAAGATTGTTCGTGGATTTTACGTGGAGAAGTTCAAAATCTCCTTCGTTGTATTTATCGCGGACGTAGTGGTAATGTACGTCAATGTGCTTTGAGCGATTATGAATCCGTGGATTTCTTGCCAGTTCTTGTGCTCCATTATTGTCTGTGTAGAGCAAAGTGTCGTACTTTTGGCACAGTTGGTCAAGTCCAAATTTCGTCCAGGTGAGTTGGCGTGCAGCTTGCGACATGGCCATGTATTCGGCTTCTGTAGTTGATAGTGCTACAGATCGCTGTTGTTTGCTGCTCCTGGCGATTGCGGCATCACCAAGT